GTACACGACGGTGTGGCTTCTGAATAAATGAAAATGATTTAACACAGTTGTTTATACTTTTAGCAGCTCATTTTATTATTTAATTTAGGATAAGAATATGAACAAGTTCTTGCATGAGGCCCAATGTGATTAACTTGAATCTAAGCACTAAAGAGGCCTCTCATGCATTTATAGAAAGCTGGGCAATTCCACACACTTGAGAGATGTTTTTGAATTGTTAAAGCAACATGTCTTCAACCACAAAATAGAAGTTCAGTTGTTTTGTTTTTTAAACCTTTTTTGGATAAGTAGAAAGGGAAGAAAATTTTTCTTCTGCGGCAGGAGGTGTCACCTTAAATCATGGACAAACAGTCATACTGRTGAAGGTCAGGGTGGGTAGACATGCAACTGCCTAGTCAAAAAAAAGTCACACGCTAATATTTTTTGTTGGACCACCTTTACAGCACACATTCTCTGTGGCATTGTTTGGATAAGCTTCATAGACCTGACCAACTGCAGCAACCTTAGATCATAGCTCTGCMCCCACAGGCTGTACAGTAGACATCCTCCAACAYGATGGGTCCGCTMTCCTTCCAGTTTTTAATAATGTGTTGAACAGTTCTTAAACCAGTTTTAGTAGTTTCTGTAATCTCCTTAGATGTTTTCTCTGCTTGATGCCAATGATTTGACCCTTCTCAAACAGACTGACATCTTTTGCACGACCACAGGATGTCTTTAAACATGRTTTAAGAAATGAGAAGCAACTCATTGCACCAGTTGGGGTTAAATAACTTGTTGCCCCTGCAGTAATTATCCAATAGGAGGCTCGTACCTGTCTGSTTAGTTAAAGCCAGGTGTATAAACACAGCTCAAAATGTTGCAGACTGTTTGTTCTTGTCCCGTACCCTTGTGTTAAAACCAATGGAAATAATAAAAAAAAAACCCTGCTCCAAATCAAAGAAAACAAAGGGGGAAGATATCCTGCTGTTCTGATTACACAGAAGGATAAGAGATAAACAAGACCTTTTTGTGTTTCTGAAAACACATTGAAACATTACACCCCAGTAACATAATGAGCCACTTGAGTTTATAAGTTATTTATTCTCACARCAAAAATATCTTTTTAAAATCAGCATCAACAAAGATGAAACACAAAGCCTGTATAAACTGCATACATACTGTATATTTTTGTATACGGTAATCAATMATCAAAGGCTGATGGAGCAGTCCTTTTATTGTTCTGGTGAAGCAGAAGTTCTCTTTGATTGTTCTTCATTTAAAAAAGCTCAGACCTAAAGAGCAATCTAGAAACAAAATGWCACAAAAACAAGTGAATGTGGGAGAGGGTGGTATAAAAAGTTTGACAACCACTGGTTTGATTCAAACATTGAGAAAGACAACTGCCTTGTGCGAGTTTGCAAATGGTTTATTTTTCACACTGAATGTTTGTCGTGTAYAGTATCTGCATCCTGTTAATGTGTTAACATGTTTTCCACCGTCTGYGATGCTGACGCTGATATCAGGATCAGTATTGCCCACCACCGAAGGTGAAAGCGAGTTTGTGTGTGTAGGTGTTAGCAAAATACCCTGCCTGGCCAAAAACAAGTGTCCACCTATTTTAGAATTTAATCTTGATTTGATGTTTCATTATGTTGCTTATGTTTAATTGTTTTCTGTTTCATTTTATCTTTCCACCACTTTACATTGTTAATGATTGTACAGCACCTTGTGAATATATTTCTGTGAAAAGCGCTTTATAAATAACACTTTACTTACTTACTTATTTAACTAAGGTCTATGTTGTGGGGTTGCTGCAGTTGATTCATCAACAGTCTGTGCTCAAAGAATGAGGTCATCTGACTACCTGAATATACTGAATGAGCAGGTTTTTCCATCAACGGATTGGCATGGCCATATTCCAAGATGACAATGTAATAAGATTAGTTATGATACAGTAATCACATGGTGTTACATCTCAATATTAAAGGGCCTATATTATGTGTTTCTCAGGCATACATTTAAATACTATACCATAATAAAGTATCTATG